CGCGCGCGCGCACACACACACACACACACACACACACACAAGGCTGTGGCTAAGACATGCACACATGCGCACGTGCACGCGCGCGCACACACACATGCAGGGCTGTGGCTGAGACATATGCACACATGCGCACGCGCACACACACACACACGGCTGTGGCCAAGGCATACGTTTGTGTGCAGGCACACACACACACATGCTGTAACTGCAGATCACACATATTGGTTTCTTTTTTAAAAATTAGGTATAGTTGCCAGGTGCAGTGGCTCACGCCTGTAATCTCAGCACCTTGGGAGGCCAAGGCAGGCAGATCCCCTTAGGTCAGGAGGTTGAGACCAGCCTGACCAACATGGTGAAAACCTGTCTCTACTAAAAACACAGAAGTTGTCTGGGTACAGTGGCACGTGCCTGTAGTCCCAGCTACTTGGGTGGCTGGGGCGAAAGAGCTGCTTGCGCCCGACAGGCGAAGTGCTAAGTGTGCGGAGATTGCGCTGCCGCCTCCAACCCGGGCAAGAGTGAGACCCTGTCTCAAAAAATAAATGCATAAATATAGGTGTTGTATATATTTACCATGATAAAAGTTACACTCGTTAGAAACCTGTAAAAGACAAGTGAATACAAAGAGAAAAACCCATCCACTCCAACAGCACTTTAGGGGGCTAAGGCAGGTGGATCACCCTGAGGTCAGGAGTTCAAGACCAGGCTGGCCACCATGGTGAAACCCCATCTTTATAAAAAATACAGAAATTAGCTGGGCATAGTGGCACACACCTGTAATCCCAGCTACTTGGGAGGCTGAGGCAGGAGAATCGCTTGAACCCTTGAACCCAGGAGGTGGAGGTTCCAGTAAGCTGAGATCACGCCACTGTACTCCACTGGGCGACAGAGTGAGACTCCATCTCAAATTAAACAAACAAAACGAACAAAAAAACCCCATGGGGCAGGAGGATGGCCCAGCTCTGGGTTGTGCCACATGGGGTGCAAAAGAACCATGTGTGGCCCGGCACAGTGGCTCACGCCTGTAATCCCAGCACTTTGGGAGGCCGAGGCAGGCAGATCACGAGGTCAAGAGATCGAGACCATCCTGGTCAACATGGTGAAATCCTGCCTCTAGTAAAACTATGAAAATTAGCTGGGCGTGGTGGCACACGCCTGTAGTCCCAGCTAGTCGGGAGTCAGGAGAATCACTTGAACCCGGGAGGCGGAGGTTGCAGTGAGCCAAGATTGTGCCCCTGCACTCCAGCCTGGTGACAGAACGAGACTCCATCTCAAAAAAAAAAAAAAAAAAGAATCACGTGTGTATCACACGGAGGCCGATACAGAGGGAAGGAAGTGAACACACGCGGATGAAGGAGAAAGTGAAGCTCTTCATTACTACAGAATTCCAACTGATAAAACGCAGGAGAAGCTTCACAACATCACCATGTGTGCATGACCACGCACGGCGACACACCTGTAATACTGCACATTTTGGGAGGCTGAGGTGGGATCACTTGAGGCCAGGAGTAGGAGTCCAGCCTGGACAACACAGTGAGACACTGTTTCTACCAAAAAAAATTTTCATGAATAAAAAAAGATTTTTTAAAATGATCATTTAGCAAACACCACAGAAATAACTGATTCAGGCCTAGAAGCATCATTAACGGATCCTAATAACAAAGAAACAAACAGCAACCTGCAGCCACTGCCTGCACCAAAGGGTAGGAGCTGAACAGGTGCACACCTCTCTGTTGTGATGCATCCTGAGAACCCAACGCAACCCAAAGGAGACACCACAGAGACCGAAGTCAAAGAGGGGTCTACAGAATCACTGGCCCGTGATCCTCAAAAAAAATTCAGGCTCATGAAAAAAAAAAAATTCAGCTCTCTTCCAGCCTGACCTGAGGATGACCCTGTATTCCTGAACAGAACAGTTGGTTTTTTCTTTTGCTAAAAGGACACAGAGACAACGGGTGAGACTTTTTCTTTTTTTCAGATAGGGTCTTGCTGTCGCCCAGGCTAGAGTGCAGTGGCACAATCATGGCTAACCATGGCCTCAAACTCCTGAGCTCAAGTGATCCACCCCCCTCAGCCTCCTGAGTAGGTGGGACTACAGGCGTGCGCCACCATGCCTGGCTTGTTTCTGTAAAGATGGGGTTCTGCCATGTTGCCCAGGCTGGTTTCAACTCCTGAGCTCAAGCGATCTGCCCACCTCGGCCTCCCAAAGCGCTGGGTTTACAGGTGTTAGCCACCACGCCCAGCTGGCAGGTGAGATTTGAGTAAGGTCTTCAAGTTACATGATAGTACTGTCCCAACATTAATTTCCTTATTTTGATAACTGAGCTATGGTTGTGTAAGAGAATGTCCTCTTTTAAAGTAACACACACCAAAAGTGTTTAAAGGTAAAGTGCATCACATCTGCAACTCACTCACTGTCAAACTGTTCCAGGAAAAAAGAGGTAGGTGCATGAGTGTGATGGGAATAAGAAAGCAAATGTGAACTGGGCGCGGTGATTCACACCTGTAATCCCAGCAACTCGGGAGGCTGAGGCAGGAGGATGGCTCAAGGCCAGGAGTCTGAGATCAGCCTGGGCAAAAATAGCAAGACCCCATCTCTAAAAAAAGATTTTAAAAACTAGCTGGGTGTGGTGGCATGCCCAAGTAGTCCCAGATGCTCAGGAGGCTGAGACAGGAGGATCCCTTGAACCCAGAAGTTCAAGGTGGCAGTGAGCCATGATCGTGCCACCGTACTCGTCTGGATGACAGAGCAAGACCCTGTCTCTAAATAAATAGGCAAATACGGTAAAATGGGTAAATTACAAGGAACCTGGGTGAAGGACACATAAGAATTCTTTGCAGACTTTTGCAACATTCCTATATGTCTAAAATTATTTTTATTTCAAAAAGGAAAAGAGTGCTATATCTGCATTAAATACCTTAAACGGCTAGGTACCATAGCTCAGGCCTGTAACCCCAGCACTTTGGGAGGCTGAGGTGGGCGGATTAGCTGAGGTCAGGAGTTCCAGACCATCCTGGCCAACACAGTGAAACCCCAGCTCTACTAAAAATACAAAAATTAGCCGGGTGTGGTGGGGTACACCTGTAATCCCAGCTACTCGGGAGATTGAGGCAGGAGAACTGCTTGAACCTGGGAGGGAGAGGTTGCAGTGAGCTGAGATTTCACCACTGTACTCCAGCCTGGGCAACAGAGTGAGACTGTCTCAAAAAACAAAAAAAACCTTAAACATCTTTACTGATTTTGGCCCTAAAATCTTTTCTCTGGAAACCTATTCTAAGGAAATAATCTCAGAGGAGGTAAAAGCTCTGTATGCAAAATGTTTTCTGAAATGCAATTTACAGTAGAAACCAGGGACCAGCGACAGCCCAGATGTCCTAGCAGTAACAGCTAAAACAGCTGCAGTCCAACCACACCCAGCTCCCAGGCCTGGCCACTTACTGTGTGACCTTGAATAATGTGCTGGGCTCTGTGTATTCGGTAAGAATTCAAAACATGAGCTCTTCACTTAAACTTAGGTTAACAGGCTGGGCATGGTGGCTCATACCTCTAATGTCAGCATTCTGGGAGGCCGAGGCAGGTGGATCACAAGATCAGGCATTCGAGATCAGCCTGACCAACATGGTAAAAACCTGTCTCTACTAAAAATATAAAAATTAGCTAGGCATGGTGGCGTGCGCCTGTAATCCCAGCTACTCAGGAGGCTGAGGCAGAAGAAACCCTTAAACCCAAGAGGCAGAGGTTGCAGTGAGCTAAGATCACGCCACTACACTCTAGCCTGGGCAACAGAGCAAGACTCTGTCTCAAAAGAACAAAAACAAAAACACAAACACAAACACAAAAAAACTGAGGTTAACAGAAAGCAAGCTGTACCCCTTATGAGTGCAACCACATGCAAACAAGTGTATGCAGAAGTTTTAAAACAGCCTACTAGTTAAGGTGCCTGCCGTTCCCACAAGCAGAGACTCCACAATGGGGACAAGGGCCTGCCACCAACTCACACTGTCAGCATCCTCCATCCAGGTGTGCTTCCGATCTTCCTCCTCAATCCCAATTCCAATCACGGCGCGCATGACGGCCTGGCAGGTGGCCACACTCCCAGCCCTGTCACATTCCTCGGCATCCTGAAAGAGGAACACAGAAATTATTTTTGATTTTGGAAATCAGAGCTGCAGATTCCCAACAGGGAGCAAGGCGTTCCTGGATGGTCAGACTGAGAGACATGAGTATGAGATGCTGATATTGCCTAGCAGGAGCTGAGGAAGTGAGTCTGTTCACACCAATCGGAAAAAAGCAACAGAGAAATGTCACAAAGGACACAGACACACTGTTCACCAGAAAATAAAAATACAAACAGCTCTTTAAACATGTGGAAAGAAATGTAAAATCTTTTTATTTATTTTTATTTTTTGTATTTTTTTGAAGACAGGGTTTCACCACGTTGGTCAGGCTGGTCTTGAACTCCCAACCTCAGGTGATCCATCCGCCTTGGCCTCGAAAGTGCTTGGGTTACGGGCGTGAGTGACCACGCCCGGTCTTTTTTTCTTTTTTTTCGTATTTTTTTTAAAGCTTTTTATTTTTAAGAGACAAGGTCTCGGCCAGGTGTGGTATCTGATGCCTGTAATCCCAGCACTCTGAGGCCAAGGAGGGCAGATCACGAGGTCAGGAACTTGAGACCAGCCTGGCCAACCTGGTGAAACCCCATCTCTACTAAAAAAAATAAAAATAAAAAATATGAAAATTAGCCAGGCGTGATGGCAGGCCCCTGTAATCCCAGCTTACTCAGGAGGCTGGGGCAGGAGAATCACGTGAACCCAGGAGGCGGAGGTTGCAGTGAGCCCAGATCACACCACTACGCTCCAGCCTGGGTGACAGAGCAAAACCCCCCTTCCGTAAAAAAAAAAAAAAAAAAGCGAGAGAGAGAAAGAGAGCGAGCCAGGGTCTCCCCACCGTCACTCAAGCTGGAGTGCTGTGGTGCAATTATAGCTTACTGCAGCTTCAAACTCCCAGACCCAAGGGAGCCTCCCGAGTAGCTAGGACTACAGACATGTACCAGCATGCCCATTATTATATTATTTTTGTAGAAACGGGGTCTCCTTATGTTACCCAAGCTGGTCTTAAACTCCTGGTCTCAAGTAATTCTGCTTTAGCCTCCCAAAGTGCTGGGATTAATGCATAAGCAACCATGCCTGGCCCCATTCTTTTTTTGAGACAGGGTCTCACTGGGTCACCTAGGCTGGAGAACAATGGCGTCCTCAACTCCTGGGCTCAAGTGATCCTTGGGCTCCCAGAGTGCTGGACACAGGCATGAGCCACAACACTCAGCCCCCATTCTTATTTTCAAGATGCTAATTAAATAATTCTAAGTACCATTTTGCATGTATCAGATGAGCAACACTGAAACATATGCCGACTGGTTCACTTGGTGACGATGGGCAAAAATCTTATACTGCTAAGAAGCACATATCTCTATGGAGGGCAAGTTCTCATTCTCTATCAAAATAAAACATGCACACATCTCTATGGAGGGCAAGTTCTCATTCTCCATCAAAATAAAACATGCACACATCTCTATGGAGGGCAAGTGCTCATTCTCTATCAAAATAAAACATGCACATATTTGACCCAGCAGTTCTACTTTAAGGCATTCATCTTACAAATATATTCCCACAAGTGCAAGACAATGTGTCTACCAACCAGAGCGGCAGGGGCAGGGGCAGGGGCACCACCATGGCGCCAACCTGGGGGACCACAACATGGGCGAGTGAAGTGCCACAGGAGCCAGGTGCTCCCACACCTCCTGGGCCCTGTCAGCACCAGAAAACCATCCCAGACAGAAAGCAGAGCCAAGAGCAAGGATCTGAGGCAGAGACGCTGGTGAGAAGGTCAGTGCTGAGAACTCGTGGGCAGGTCAGTGGGCAATGACCCAGCACCCAGACCTCAGGGCCTGCAACAAAGGTGCTGGCTCTTCCTCCATGTACAGTCTCTACTGAATGTAAATTGCTTCTGAACCACAGTAAAGTGAAACCATGGGAAGTCAGGGGCCATCTGTATTTGCAAATCATGTATCTGATAAGTCACTATATCCAGAACCTATAAAAACATCTCTTGGCCGGGCGCGGTGGCTCAAGCCTGTAATCCCAGCACTTTGGGAGGCCGAGGCGGGTGGATCACGAGGTCAAGAGATCGAGACCATCCTGGTCAACATGGTGAAACCCCGTCTCTACTAAAAATACAAAAAATTAGCTGGGCATGGTGGCACGTGCCTGTAATCCCAGCTACTCAGGAGGCTGGGGCAGGAGAATTGCCTGAACCCAGGAGGCGGAGGTTGCGGTGAGCCGAGATCGCGCCATTGCACTCCAGCCTGGGTAACAAGAGCGAAACTCCGTCTCAAAAAAAAAATAAATAAATAAAATAAAACATCTCTTACAACTCAATAATAAAACAATAGACAAAAATAATACATAGACAATAATAAAGACACAATCTAATTTAAAAGTAAAGGATTTCAATGCCTCCATGCTACAACATGGAGGAACCTGGAAAACGCACTAAGTTAAGGCCAGTCACAAAAGATCACACATCGTGTGATTCCACTCATAGGAGGCATCCCAGCGTGGGATGGTGCATAAGCCACATGCATTCAGTAGAAGCGACACTTTGACAAGCATTCTGAGCATGTTTAATGTAGGTTAGGCTAAGCTATAAAGTTCAATAGGTTAGGTGTATCACATGCATTTTATTTTTTTATCTTTTGAAATGGAGTCTCACTCTGTCACCCAGGCTGGAGTGCAGTGTCACCATCTTGGCTCACTGCAACCTCTGCCTCCTGGGTTCAAGCGAATCTCCTGCCTCAGCCTCCCAAATAGCTCAAATTACAGGTGCTTGCCATCAAGCCTGGCTAATTTTTTTGTATTTTTTAGTAGAAATGAGGTATTACCATGTTGGCCAGGCTGGTCTTGAACTCCTGACCTTAAGTGATCCGCCTGCCTCAGCCTCCCAAAATGCTAGGATTACAGGCATGAGCCACAATACCCAGCCTCAAATGCATTTTAGCCTTACGATTTTTTCAGCTTACAATGGGTTTATCAGGATGTATAAGTTGAAGAGGATTCATATACAAAATGTCCGAAAAAAAAAGTATAGAGAAAGAAAGTAAAAAAGCAAAATTAGACAGGCAAGGTGGCTCACACCTATAATCCCAGCACTTGAGAGGCCGAGGCAGGTGGAACACCTGAGCTAACGAGTTTGAGAGCAGCCTGAACAACACGGCAAAACCCCACACAGAAGATTTGCCGGGCATGGTGGCACACTCCCATAGTCCTGGCTACTCAGGAGGCTGAGGCAGGAGAATTGCTTGAGCCCAGAAAGCAAGGCTTGCAGAGAGCCAAAATAGACTGCACCATGCACTCCAGCCTGGGAGACATAGAGCAAAACCTTGTCTCAAAAAAAAAAAAAGGCTACAGAGGTATGTAAATGGGGAGCAACAACTAATGGATACAGGATTTCCTTCTGGAGTGATGAAAAGGTTCTAAGACTGTGGTAATAGATGTATAACTCTGTGAATATACTAAAAACCACGGAATCATAAACTTTAAATGGGTGGCTTTTATAGGATGTTAATTATAGCTTGATTAACCGCCTTTTAGCTGGGTATGGCAGCTGATGCCTGTAATCCCAACACTTTGGGAGGCTGAAGTGGTAGGATCGCTGGAGGTCAGGAGTTTAAGACCAGCTTTGGCAGCATAACAAGGCAAAAAGTAAAAATAAAAAAACTAGCCAAGCACGGTGTCACAGGCCTGCAGTGCCAGCTACTTGGGAGGCTAAGGCAGGAGGATCACTTGAGCCCAGGAGATCAAAGATGCAGTGAGCCATGAATGCACCACTGCACTCTAGCCTGAGCAACACAGCAAGGCCCTGTCTCTTAGAAAGAAAGAAAGAAAAAGAAAGAAAGAAAGAAAGAAAGAAAGAAAAAAAGAAAGAAAGAAAGAAAGAAAGAAAGAAAGAAAGAAAGAAAGAAAGAAAGAAAG